GTGGCAGGGGTCCAAGTTCTTGAACCACCTGCTGCTGCTTTCCCCAGTGTATTGGGAGAGAGCTGGATTAGAAACGGAGCAGCTGGGACTTGAACCTGTGCTCCACTACGGGATGCGGGCATCACAAGAGGCAGCTTAACCCTCTGTGGCACAATGCCATTCCTCACGTTGGCTTTGGACAAGGAAAAGTTTTTAACTTTGATCAAGTCCAATTTATTATTTTTTTTCTATAGATTCTGTTTCTGCTGTCTAGGTTAAGAACTCTTTGACTAATCCAAAATCTCACTTTCTCCTATTTTTCTGAAAGTTTTAGAGTTTTATCTTTTAGATTTCAAATCATGATCGAATTTTTGTATAAGGTACGGTTTTGGGTCTACTTTTTTTCACCTGTGGATATCCAATTGTTCCCTGCACCATTTGTTGAAGGGATCGTCCTCACTTCATTGAGTTCATTTTGCCAAAAAATCAATTGGGAATATTTCTGTGGTCCTCTTTGTGTTCTCAATCTATTTAGGGCTTTAACCGGCTCCCATGACCAGTATACATTGCCTTAATTTCCTGTGAGATAAATAAATAGTGAATCCCCATCTCGTAATGATATCAACATAGTAATTAACAGGAATTTTGCAACAATACCTAATTAAATACTAATCATGTAGTGTAGATTTCACTTGAACATTGTTGGTCTCTCTCAACTCCTCAGGGGGCTAATTCTGACAATTAAGTTAGCCTGAAGCCAGAGAGAATCATGAGATGAATCCGAACTTAAATGTATAAAAATACAATATTTTACTTTGAAAGACTAAGAGGGAAAACATCTTGACTAGTAGATTATAGAATTTCAGAAGGGAAAACCCCCAGGTGAGCGTGAGCATAGTCCGCTTCTGAGGTTCTGCTTGCAAATGAAACTGAAGATCTCTTCCTAGTCTACCTGCGAGACCGACCTTTCCTAGTACGAGAGGACTTCGCAAAGTTTATTCTGGTACAGGAAGTTGAAATCCAGGCAGGTGAGGGGTCATCAAGGAGTTCATAAAATGTGCATTATGAAAAAAATGTGCACAAGGTTGTGCAGCCTTCACCATTCTCTAACTCTGGAATATTTCCTTCCCTCAGCCACTGGCAGCTACTGATCCACTTTCTGTTCCTATAGATTTGCCTACTCTACAATAAATGCAACCATTCGATGTGTGGATTTTTTGTGCCAGACATCTTTCACTCAATGTAATGTCTTCAAGGCTCAGGCACGCTACAGCATGCAATAACCCTTCATTCCTTTCTACAGCTGAATGAACTCCCCATATAAATATAACAGATTTTGTTTATTCATTATAGCTTTGTGAATAATGCTGCTATGAACGTCTGTGTACATGATTTGGTGTGGATATAAATGTGCAATTCCCTTCAATTAGTAGCTTCAGTTACTGTAGCTAGGAGGGGAATTGCTAGGTCAAATGGCAGTCCTGGGGGCCGGCACTGGGGCATAGCAGGTAAAGCCACCGCCTGCAGTGCCAGCATCCCATATGGGTGCCAGTCCTAGACCCAATTGCTCCACTTCCTATCCAGCTCTCTGCTATGGCCTGGGAAAGCAGCGGAAGATGGCCCAAGTCCTTGGGCCCCTGCACCCATGTGGGAGACCCAGAAGGAGCTCCTGGCTCCTGGCTTTGTATTTGTGCAGCTTCAACTGTTGTGGCCAGCAGATGGAAGACCTCTCTCTCTGCCTCTGCCTCTGCCTCCCCGTAACTCTTTCAAATAAATAAATAGATCTTTTAAAAATGATAATTGATGGGGCCGGCGCTGTGGTTCATTTGGTTGATCCTCCACCTGAGGCACCGGCATCCCATATGGGCTCTGGGTTCTAGTCCGGGTTGCTGCTCTTCAAGTCCAGCTCTCTGCTGTGGCCCAGGAAGGCAATGGAGGATGGCCCAAGTGCTTGGGCCCTGCACCCACATCGGAGACCAGGAGGAAGCACCTGGCTCCTGGCTTCGGATCAGTTGTAGCTCTGGCCGCGGCGGCCATTTGGGGGGTGAACCAACTGAAGACCTTTCTCTCTCTCTCTCTCTCTCACTGTCTAACTCTATTTGTCAAATAAATTTAAAAATTATAAAAAATGATAATTTATTAGAGGAAACCCTGGTTTTGACTCTATGATATTGAATGCACAGAAATAAAACTCAAATTAATAGCCTCTATTTCAGAGCCAACTCATCCACCTACAATGTCTTAGCCTCACTTTTCGTAATTCCCCTTATTGAGTATTACACTTCAGAAGCATTCAGTGCTGTATGAGTATTTACCAGGATACATTTCCTCTCGTCACTCTGTTGCTGCTTCCTGGATGGGGGGTAATAGGAGTTTTAGCAGAGAATATACTTACTTACAGCATTGCATCAGTGTGTCTTTTAGCACGAAACATAAACACCAAAAAGTCTTTTTAAACTCATTGCATTTCCAGGGAGAAGTACTTAATAGAAAAGATAGATGTTTCTACTCTCAGGTTCACAATGGTTCCTTCTCAATCGGACAAGGCAAATGGAAGTCCAGTTGGCTGAAGAGGAGGCAGATGCAGAGTCATCCCTGGACATCCTACCTCCCCCGCCCGCGGCCCTGTCCTGGGATGACTCCAAGTAGCAGTATTAGAGGGGATTTTTCAACAAGTCTTGGCTTTTTTTTTTTCCCATGCTATTAGTTTGCATTTCAGAACCAAAAATATTTTGTTTTCTTCACTTCTGGACCATAACTGTGTGCAATAGTGAGGCAAATATTCATAAAATAGGGAATGAGATTTTCCTAATGGAAGTGCCATTGGAGTCTCCCGTGACGATTTAAGAAACATGCTGATGAGCAATAATGTAAAATTCTTGTTAGGGATTGAATTGTGTCTCCCCTCAATTCATATGTTGAAATCCAAACCCCCAGTACCTCATTATGTGACCTTATTTAAGTTAAGGTCTTTACTGAGGTCATTGAGTGGGCTTTAAACCAATATGACTGTTGTCCTTAGGAAAAGGGGAAATTTGGATAGAAACGTAGACAGAGGGAAGGTGCCTGATGGGAGACAGATGCCTCTTTTCAAGGGAAAGAGGCCTGAGACCGATTCCTCTCAGAGCCTTCTGCAGGAACCTACCATGTTGGTGCCTTGCTTTGGCTCTCCCAGCCCCCAGAACTGTGAGGCCACTTGTTTGCATTCTTTCAACAACTCTGTCTGTGGCCCACACCATCCACACCTGCAGTACTGTCACAGCAGCCCTTGTATACAAACACAGGTCATGTCCAACTCTTCTGTAGGATCTTCCTGAAAGCTACTTGGCTTCCAGCAGCAGCCAGGTAAGCCAGAACTGTTGACTTTTTTGAGCAACTGCTGTGTGTCTGCAGCCATCAGGGTGTGTTGTGAGTTTATACATGTGGGTGAAGAGAGGAAGACAGAAGCCTTGGATAGATGCCTCATAGCAGTGAGGATGCAGAAGCTTCAGGGAGACCAACTCTGACAGCTCTCCTTCCCACAGTTCTTTTTAATAAATATTTATTTATTTGAAAGGCAGAGTGACAGAGAAAGATGGAGAGGCAGAGATGTTCATCCACTGTTTTATGGTTCAGAAGTGGAGCAGTCAGGACTTGAACTGGCACTCATATAGGATGCTGGTGTCACAGGTGGCAGCTTAACCTACTGCACTGCAAAGCCACACCTGCAACTCACTTTCCAAGCATGTAATGTCACATTTTTAAAGATTTGCTTATTTATTTGAAAGTCAGAGTTACACACAGAGAGAAGGAGAGACAGACAGAGAGAGAGAGAGAAGTCTTCCATCCAATGGTTCACTCCTCAGATGGTCACAATGATCAGAGCTGTGCCGATCCAAAGCCAGGAGCCAGGAGCTTCTTCTGGATCTCCCACGTGGGTGCAGGGGCCCAGGACTTGGGCCATCTTCTACTGCTTTCCCAGGCCATAGCAGAGAGCTGGATCAGAAGAGGAGCAACTGGGTCTTGAACCAGTGCCCATATGGGATGCCGGCACTGCAGGTGATGGCTTTACTGGCTATGCCACAGTGCCAGCCCCATGTCACACTATTTTCTTATGTTCTTAGATCATTAATTTTCTTACCTGAATAAATCTCAGAAAACACTGTGAAGCTTAATCTGTGCTCATTCTGTGGTGACTGAAATGAAACAACACTTCCTTTTTCTGCTCATTCAGGAGGCCTAGCTTTCAGGAAAGCAAATGAATCTTGGAGTCAATCACTTCAAGGCAAAATTGCACTTGGCGCTCTTTGCTAGCTAGCTCTGGAGCAGCTAAACAGCTTGCTTACTTCGCTGGGCTCTACCCAGGTGACAGATAACATGCCAGGGTTTGGAAAGGAGCAGTTATCAAGATAAACGTGTTTAAGGCCTTCCAGAAGCTTCCAGTCTGATTCTGAAGGGTAGAGGAACAGGGAGAAGGAATAGTTCTTAAAGAACTAAACATATCAATAAAAACCAAACTTTGCTGCAGTCAATAGAACGAACTTTGGACCTTTTCAAAGACTCATTCATTCATTGAACAATTCCTTCATCCAGTGCTCACTTTATGGCAAACATCGGTGAATAAAGTGGAACAGGCCTGAGCCCTTGTGGGGACACAGGAAGAGCAGGAGGGACACGCAGAGGATGGGCACTTCATCCAGTAGGGGGCAGCAAGAGAAGGCGGTGGGGGAGGCATTGACGGATTCTTCCTGTGGTGATTTACTTTCCAGGCTCAGTGTGAAAAGGATGAGTCACACAGCACAGTCTTATCAACCTCGCTAATTCTACTCCACATAGTTCCTTAAGCTTTGGAGAGAACAGGTGACATTGTAAGAATCACTCAGCTACTTGAGCGCAGTACGGAAAGCCTGTTCCCCTGGGGCCTCTGCAAAAGCCACTTTAGGTGAGAAACGAGGGAACACGGCCCTGAAAGAGGATGACCAGGCTGGACGATGCCATCTTACTTTTTTTTGATGCAGTGTTTTTGTTTTCCACCCATCAAGCAAATTTCCACTGTTTGCCACTGAGCAATCAACAGTGCACAGACTTGGGTCTTCCTGGAGCCCTGGAGGTTGGCTGGATTGACAAGCACCTGCCTCTGATGTGGGTATGCAAGGTAAGTGTGTCATTTGTGATTGTTACCAAACTGAATCCTACTCTCAAATCAAGCACTGGCATCATTTACTGACCCCTATCTTTGGATTCTTCTAGGAAGATTCCATTGCCGTGCTTGTAGGAAAATACTTCAGGGGAAATTTGAAGTGTGGCCCATACTTCCTCTGGCTAACTGGTCACACTGAATTATGAGTACTAATCCTTCTAAGGTAAAATTCACATTGAGCACATTGCAAACAAAGAAGATGAAGCACAAAGAAAGTGAGGCAACTGGTCCAAAGTGAAACGCCTCAGAAGTGGCTGAACTGAGACCTGAGCTTAGACTATTTCTCAGGTCAGTGTTTCTTTCACTCCCTCACTGTAGCATGCACTTTGCCTGTGAAGCCAGCATACAAATGGCACTCATAGGAATCACATTGGGGAAGGGGAGTGGCCAAATTGTGCTTGGTCTTTTGCTTTGTATTGCACATTTGCTCAAGTGGGATGGGGACAGGCTGCTTTGGTTTTAAGCTCTTTAAGAGAGATTATCTTCCCTAAATTTATCTGTACCTTCTGTGGATCAACTAAGCATGCTCTCTAGTCTTGGGAATTTGAATCAGAGTACTTTGATCTTCACTAAGAAGACCTGACTTAGTGAAATTTTTATCTAAAATTGTAGAACTTCAGAGCTCAAAGAGAATAGAAATCACTAATCCAGTTTCCTCAGTCAGCAGGTAAGGGGACTGAGGCTTAGAAGGGAATAACTCAATCAAGGACACAGCTAGTTAATGGCATAAAAGATCTGCTGGGGCCATGACCTTGCTTCAGGTTTCAGAAGAGCAGCTTTGGGGCCGAGGGAGCAGATTTTCCCTGTAAGTACTCAAGGTTTGGGAACAGGACCCACACCAGACTTGCTTGGCTCTGATCAAGCTGCCCACTTTTTTTTCTGAGTTTCCTTGGATTTAGAGGTATGCAAGCAGGAGAAGTCTCTCAGTAAAGCTCACGACTGGGCAGGGAATCATGACCCACCACTTAGGTGCCTTGTGACACTGGACAAATGTCTTAACCACGGTTTGTGTCTATGATTCCCCTCTTACTTACAAGATGGGTGTAATACTTGCCTTGGGACTATGAAGTTCAGGAACAACATACACTAGGGATTTTCAAAATGTCCATGAAAAATGTGTATTATGAACAAACTGTGCATGGATTTCCCCCCAAAATTGCATCAAAATAAATTTATATTTTAATTCCATGATCATGAACTTCTAAAAATACCCATGAATGTGTATGTAAATATATATATATGTTTTATATATATATATATGTTTGTGTGTGTATGTTGTCTATCAAAATATGTACCTACTAATATAGAGAGAGGAGAGAAAGACTATGTGGAGACAACCTTCATAAATGGGCATCCCATGAAGTCCACAGGACAGCTCCCTCTTGTCATTGTTACCATTATCCTTCATTTTGCAAATGTCACTGGAAACCAAGAGGTGTTGACATCAGCACTGAAATCTAGCAGGGTGCTGGACCTGTATAAAGAAAATGCCATCCACTGTCAGGGATGTTACAAGGATTGAGTGAAGAAAATACGAAAACACACCTGTCTTGGAGTCTGGCACAGAGGAGACTTTCAGAAAAGTGTGATGAATCAAACATTTGTGGAATGAACAGAAGAAATCTCTGAGTGCATCAGTGGCCAATATGGCCCACGTACTCAATGAGATGAACAAGGGTGTCTATGAAGATTTCCATCATCTACATAACTTTGGATCTCTGGGCTCATATTTAAGATCCTTCAGTGAGTTGGAGAGCCTAGCAAAGAGAAGACAGCATTCCATTCAAGGGTTCTATTGGCGTACCAACTGAACTTGGCTGACAATTAAATATGGGCACAGATTGGTCTTTTCCTATTTTTCTCCTGAGACTTGGCAGTTTGTCTGACTGAAACTAGAAGCCCAGATGGCACTGGAACTAATTGGAGTCTTCCCGGGGTGCTGTGTCCTCAGGTTAGTAGATGACCACAGTGGTTACATAATGGCGGACCAACTTGGGAGTTCCAGCTACTCAGGTCTCCAGCCAAAGGCCTGGCACCAAGATGGTAGTTAACAAACATTTGGTGAATGAATCCAATTAGAGCCTCATGGATTATTGAGGATCCTGAATTTTTGTCTGCGTGAATTATACCTACTGCTATTTAACATAATAGAAATGAGGAAAATTTTAATGTATTTCTTTATTAATTTATGAATACCATTTTTATGACCATAATGGTACTTTCTAAGACAAAGAAGTGCATGAGAAGAGTGGCAACATTTTTAAAAATTTTACATTTTTATATAAAATATGTGTGTTATAGATTGGCTGTGCCATCTCTTCTTCCACTCCTTTTCATATCCACGGAGAGCTGTTTCTGTAGTTTGCTCCATTAGCTTGAGTTTCTTTTTTTATTTAGTGGAATTTATTAATACATTAAATTCTCAGGGTCAGAGCAAATGCATGATAATTACTATAACACAATTCCCATCAAGTCTCATATTAATGTGATATTAATATAAAGAACAGATTCAATATAGTTCTTACATACAATTCTGACAATATAATGATACTTCTAATCCTCTCTCGCTTCCTTCCTCCATCCCTCTGTATCTATCTCCCTCCCTCCTTCCTTCCTTCCTTTCTTAATTTTTGAGAGAATATAGTTTTAATTTACATTATAATCAGAGGCTTCATGCTCCACTAAAAGCCTAAGTGTTCAGTTTTGTTTTTCTTTTTCAAAATATTTGGTTATTCTTAGCAGTT